TGGCCAATTGCTGCGAAATGCGACCAATCTTTACCCGTATGGGTAAAGAGTCTGTCGATATTTCGCGTACTGTACGTACGCGACTCGTACTCGTCGACCGAAAAGAGGAGCGCGTGATGAGTCAACAATACACTCGCCCGCGCGCCACGGCGTCGTCGCGATGGACGACGCCGTCGGCGACGTCGTCGACGACGACGCCGACCGAACGGTCGTCGACGCGGTCGTCGACGCGGTCGTCGACGACGCCGTGACTCGCGCGTCGTCGCGTCCTTCGACTTCGACGTCATCAACGCCGGAACCGGCTCGGAAGAATTTCGACGCGAGCTTCCGCGAGTTCGTCGTCACGAAGCTCCAAGCGCGCGCTCGGGGGAAGTCGAAGCGCGACGCGTACGCGCGCGTACAGCGCGCCGTGCGGTGCATTCAAGCTCGGTGGCGCGAGTCCGAGCGTCGCGCCGCGGTGCGTCGGCCGCGTCGTCGTCGCCGATCCTCGTCGTCGTCCCGAATTGTCTGTCGTGCCGACTACGACCGCGTCTCATCACCCCGCGGTCCTTCCTCCGCCGCCCGCTCACCGCCTCCCGCGCCCGTCGATCGATCGCGCGTCCCCACCGCGCAGGCTCGCCCGGACTACCACGCGATGGCCTCGCGCATCGCCCGCGCGTGGCGCCGGCACCTCCGAATCCGCGTCTTCAGACGCCTCCGCGACCTCGTCGCGTCTAATAACGAAAAGAGCGACCCGGCGTCGGCGCTACGGCGCGTCAACCCCGCGGAAGCCGCCGTCGCCGGGGACCCGTCGTGCGGCACGCACGTGCGCTTCCGGCTCGGCGGCGAAACGTTCCCGCCGGAGGTGGTTTACAAGATATACACGCACCGACCGGTGACGGACGTGTGCGCGTTCGCGCCGAGGGATTACGCCGCCAGCCGAGCGGCGGCGGCCGGGTCGCGCGATCGATCATCAGGTGCGTTCTATACACTGGTTCCCATACGACCGCGTTGGCGTGGTGAACGCCGATCCTTAAGGACTTTTGCCGTCGTCTCTCTCCGCCCAGCCCCCGCTTTCAGTCCCCGCCATCGACGCCTTTCAGCGCCAACTGACGCCTTTGAACTCCACCCCGACATTCGCTCGTATAGAACGGCCCTCACGCCGCGGATGGTACGCGCGCGTCGAGAACAACGCGTGGCGGCCGGTCCGCGACGTCGGCGCGCTGGAAGAGCGCGAGAACGAGACGACGGCGAGCGCGCGGCGCGAGTCGATCCGAGACGCGTACACGTTCCACCTGAGCCCGAGCGCGCGGCGGGACGCGACGGAGAGGCGGCGGCGCGAACGGAGGGTGGAGTGGATGCGGAAACTGTACGGGTTTCAAGCGATGCGCCGCGGCGGGGGCGGCGGGAGCGACGCCGGCGCCGGCGCGCCTCGAGGGTCGGGGTCGACGCGCGTGGACGCGGACGGGGACGATCTTGATCTTGATGTCGACGCGACGTTCGCGCAGACGGACGAGGAGAGGGCGTTACTGAGCTGGTCTTCGGCGCTCGACTTCGACGCGTATCAGCGGATGTGGTCGACGCTGTCGTGCGGCGCGCCGTCTGAGTCGACCGCGCCGAGGGGGATCGGCGAGACCGCGATCGAGGCGTCGGCGCGGTTGGGGTTATCGGACGCGAACGCGTTCGGCGGGTATTTCGAATGAAAGTAGCGCGTGTCATAGTTCCATCGCAGGCGTCTCGCCCGACCCAGCAGGATGTCCCAAAAATGCACGACTGATGTCGGAAAAAAAAAAGAGACGTTGCGCGCCCATCGGACGTGACAACACCCCGCGCACATGGCGCGTCCCGCGTCCGCCGCGGCGCCCCCGCCCGGCGCGTCCAAGGCTGACCTCGGCGGCTGGAGCGACCGACTCGCGTCGATACGCAACAACATGGAGAGCAGCATCGAGCAGATGCGGTGCGAGCTGTCGAGCGAGCTGTTCGAGGACGACGACGACGACGAGGTGCCGTCCGACGAGCCCAAGCTGATCGCGTCGAGCGCGGACGCCGCGATGGCGACGCGGTGCGACGACGCGAGGCGCGAGCTCGCGACGATGCTCGAGGACGTTAAGACGTCCGTCGCGGCGTACCGGAAGGAGGTCGAGAGCGCGCGCGCGAGCGGCGCCGGCGCGATCGCCGCGGCGCGTTCGAACGCCGCGTCGTCGTCGTCGTCGTCGAACGCGAAGGCGAACGACGACGACGCGCTCGCGCGCGTCGTCCTCGCGAACGCGTCGCTGAAGCGCGAGGTCGAGCGCTTGACCGCGCGCGCGAACGCGTCCGAGACGGAGCTCGCGACGAGGCTCGCCGCGCTCGAAGAATCGGTCGAGACGAGGGTGCGCGACGCGATGCGACGCGTCGAGACCGCGGTCGCGAGGGACGTGACCGAGAGCGTCGACCGACGCGTGGACGTCCGTCTGCGAGAGTCCGAGCGA